CTTCCCGATCCTGGCGCGACTCCTCGCGGAGCTCAAGATCCCGAATCCCGAAGTCGGTCAGGTCGTCCTGCCGTCGGCCTTGGTCGGCGACGTGGTGTCGTGGCTCCTCCTCGCGCTGTGTTTTGCCCTTATTGGGCCTGGCGACAAGGCAGCTGCTCATGAGTACCTTGCGCCCTTTTGGATGGTGCTCGCCGCAGCCTGTCTTGTGCTCGTGTGCCTGTACATGGTCAGGCCGCTCCTGGAATGGACGTTGCGGCAGATGCCGGAAGGCGAGCCGGTGAACAACGTGTACATGGGTTTGGTGCTCATCTTCGTGTTGGGCGCCGCCCTGGCCTCGGCGACCGTCGGATTCCACCCCGTGTTTGGCGCCCTCGTCTTGGGGCTGGCGGTGCCCAAGGGGCCGCTCACCACAACCCTGATCGAACGGCTCGACGACTTCGTCATCGGCTTCATGCTGCCGTTCCTCATCGTCGGCTGCGGACTCAAGGCCGATGTGGCATCCCTTATGAGACCGGAGGGAAACGAGCCGACGCACTACGTGTTCTGGCTAGGCTGCATCGTCGTGGTTGCGACGTTGGCCAAGGTGGCCGGATGCATGATCATCTCTTCCTTCTATTCGATGCCGCGCTCTCAGGGGTTGTCGCTCGGGATATTGATGAACACGATGGGCCCGGCTCAGGCGATCATCCTCAACATGGGCAAGAGCGAAAAGGTGAACTCCCCTCCCTTCCTCACCGTCTCTCTCGCTTCCAACCCTGGTGTGCTGTCGTCTCATGGGCATTATTAGCCCGTGCAGGTCTTTAACCAGAAGATATACGCGTTGCTGGTGGTCTCGTCGGTCATCTCCACGGCACTGGTGAGCCCGCTGGTAACAGCCCTCGACAGGAAATGCCGCGGCCCGGCCATTTACAAGCAGCGCAACTTGGAGCTCTCGAGGCGGGACTCCGACCTGCGCCTGGTGGCGTGCGTCCACACCGTCCGCAACGTCCCTTCCGTCATCAGCCTCCTTCAGCTCTCTAACCCCACCCACGACTCCCCGCTCTTGGTCTCTGCCGTCCACCTCGTTGAGCTCACCGGCCGCACCCCTCCCATGCTCATCGTCCATGAAGCTGGAGCCATTGGCACCCTCACGAGAAGGAACACCGACAACGCACCCCCGGACCTCGTGCACTCCGAACCGATCGTTTCTGCCTTCGAGAAGTACCAGCAGCACGCCGGATGCGTCACCCTCCAGGCCCTCACTGCTGTCTCTGCCTACTCGTCCATGCATGAGGACATCTGTAACATCGCCGCGGACCACCAGGCCACCCTCATCGTCCTCCCCTTCCACAAGCTGCTCACGGTGGACGGCGAAATGGAGGTCATCAACCCTGCCATCCGCGCCGTCAACCAGGGCGTCCTCACCAACGCGCCCTGCTCCGTCGGGATCCTCGTCGACCGCGGCCTGGGCGAGCACGGGAAGTTCGCCAATGCCGGGCATTACACGCCCCTCCACGTTGCGATCCTCTTCTTTGGCGGCCCCGACGACCGCGAGGCGCTCATGTACGGGCGCCGGTTTCTCGAGCAACCAGGGGTCGTCCTCACCGTCGTCCGGTTCCTCCCCAGCTACGAGGCTGAGGCGCCCGCCGCAGCGCCGGCCGTATGGCCGGCCAAGGTGGACCGGCTGTGGGACGACGAGTGCATCAGGGACTTCCGGCTTCAGTTCGGGGACAACGCGTCGGTCTCGTACACCGACAAGGTGGTGAACGACAGCTCGGCAACAGTGGCGGCTATCCTGTCCATGGGCAGCATCTACGACTTCTACGTGGTGGGCAGGGCGAGCGGGGGGGGCTCGCCACTCGTGGTAGGCATGACGGAGTTCACCGACTTCCCTGAGCTGGGACCGATTGGGGACTTGCTGGTATCATCGGACATGGGGGCGATGGTGTCGGTGCTGGTGATGCAGCAGTACGTGGAGGAACGGATAGAGTGAGTATCGGAAGGAGTCAACCCGGGGGAAACAAAGGGTTTAGGCGGGACGGCCACTGACCCATCTCTGATTGTGACTTAGGAGAGACCGTAGACGGCTACTGACCATTTTCCCCTTTTTTTTTCCTGTTAATTCTTTATTTTCCTTTCCGATAATTTAAATTCTGCTGTCATTAGTGTTTTTTTTTATTAGTAGTCCCGTCTGCCTCTGTCTCTTATTGAAGAAAAATCCTGAGGCCAAAAAATTATAATCACAGTAACAATTCTGATAATTTTGTTATGATCCATCAAGAGAATGCCGATGCTAATCCTGTCACAGAGGGAGAAAACAAAACACAAGCAACAGTAAGACAGTTTTGAAACTGAGCTTGAAATGCAAGAACTAATATAGCATCGAAGAACCGTGCAATCAATAGCATACAATTGGTCATACAAAAAGCCACTTGTGATCATATATATGTATGTATTGTACTCCCCCTCTCTCTCTCTCGGATTAATACACACGAAGTGGAATGAAGGTGGGGATCAGCTCGCAGCCATGCAATCAGACATAGGATGGCGGCTTCGGCAGGTCGGCGACGTCGCCGCAGAGCAGCGTGTTGTCCGGTATGTTGTACTCGTCCCTCAGCGACCTCTCCGGCGAAGTGACGCTGATGTAGATCTGCTGCCCCAGGTAGTGCCTCTCCCACATCTCAGACCGCAGGTTCCACATCCCCGCGTTGTCGAAGGTGAGCATGATCGCTGACCACGACCTCGGGTACACCTGTATCGTGTGCCGGCTCACTGCGTCGAGAAGATTGTACGTCTTCCTGCTCTCCGGCGTCCACTTTCCGTGCCCCATCCTGCAAGCATTACACCAAATATTTGGTTCATCGGCGACATGGAAGGTGAGTACTGATACTGCTCGACGGCAAGTCGGTTGCGGTGTAGGCGGCGTGATGAGATTACCCGACAGGGAAGAAGGAGTAGCCATCCAAGTGGTAGCACTGAATGCTCCTCTCAGGATTCTCGAGGATGATCTCGATGTAAGTTCTGTAGGTGGCGTTGAGGACGTTCGGCGTGGCCGTGATCGGTGCGCTGGCCGCCGGTGGCTCGTCATTGATACTGTCGTACTTGAACACCTTGTCGGCGATGCCGTAATACTCCGCGAGCTTGAGTGGGGTGGGGGATTCCACATGCGACACGCCGTTGAGCGCGAAGCGGCGCTTGCCGTTGACGAGCCCGACCGAGCTGGCGAGCTTGATGGTTCTGGTGATGTTGATGCCACCGTAGTGGTAGGAGCCCTGGGGGTTGGGCCGGGCGGCGCTGGCCGTGAGGTTCCATCGGAACGACCGCCACTGGTTGAAGGACCACGCCCAGCCGACAGGCGCCGCCGGCAGCTCGGGTGACGGTGGGACGCTGGAGCCGGCGTAGCGGATGACGCCCGTGGCGGTCCGCATGTACTTGGTGAAACGTGTGGAGGCGACCATGTAGTAGTCCTTGGGTTCTTGGTTGGCCGTGACGAGCACGGAGAGGCACTGCCCGACGTGGACGTCGAGGGACTCATAGTCGTTCTGCACGGTGTGCGACCCGTCCATCTCCACCAGCTTCATCCGGTGGTTCTGCATCCGGAAGTTGAGCGACACCTTCATGCCGACGTTGCAGATGCGGTAGCGGTACGTCTTTCCGGCCTCCATGGTGAAGAGCGGCGTGTCGTCCTTGCCGCTGGCGTCCTTACCGGTTCGTCCGTTGATGAGGACGCCGGCAGGGTTGCCAATGCCGTGGCCGGCGTCGAGGATCGCGGCGAGGGCCTTGTGGCTTTTGGCGTACCAGTCGCCAATGAGCACGGTGTAATCGTCGGTTGGGTCGGCGAAAGGCACGGGGATGAGGAGGCGGCTGTTGACGCGGAGGCCGCCAAACGCCCCGGCGGCCCTGTGCATCCCCATGGAGGGGAAGTAGAAGAAGCTTCCGATCTGGTCCTTCACCTGGAAGTGGTACGTGAAGTTCTTTCCGGGAGGTATGGGGCAGTTGGTGCCAGGCATGCCATCCATCCAGGAGTTCTTCCTCTGCTGTATGCCGTTCCTGATACACAAGCACCGGGTCAGCATGAACGAAGAAGAAGAAGCTCATCAGCGACACGCTCAACGAGCACAGACAACAAACCACGTCAAGAGGAAGGGCTCATCCAGGTTGTTGAAGACATTGACGACGATGTTGTTGTTGGTGGTGGAGTTGATGTTGGGTCCGGGGAACTGGCCATTGATGAGGATGACCTGCTGAGGGACGCCGAGGGGAGAGACGGTGCCGTACGTGACGTTCCACGTGAAGAACAAGTACGGGTCCTCGGCGTGCACCGCCGCGGGGCCAAGAAGGCAGAGGAACACAAGGAGCGCATCGCGACCCCCTCCCATGATCGGTGGTTGCTCCCCTGACCTCCTTCTCTCTTTCCCAGCCACGAGAGCTAGAGCGAAGGCGACGAGCTACGACCCTCTAACCGGCGATGGGAAAGATAAAGAGGTTTACTCCGTACGCAGACGGATGGAAGACGAGGAGGCCGAGGGGGAGTTCGTCTTCGGAGTTTTGTCGCCGGGCGAGAGGGCCGATTTATAGAGGAAAGCAGGGACGGAGCTGGACGCTCGTTCAAGCTCCTCCACTCCGTCCCTCCTCGCTCCTTGCTCCTTGCTCCGGACTTCGCGCTCTGCCCTGTTTCCATTCGCCGCTACAGGGTGATGTCGCCCGTGTTCCTTCCGTGTGTGCGAGACGAGTGTCTCGAAGTTGGTCAATCAGATGCGGGTTCGGTCTTAGCTATCTGAACCGGAATTAGAACGGCTCCGATTTGGTTTTTCTCCCATGATTCTGAAAGCGGACCGGGAAGAATAGAAAAATCTCCGAACCGGACCGGCCAAGGAAGCAGATTGGCTGTTGGGTCGTGTTCTAAACAGGTTAGTTTTGGGCTCGGGTCATTAAAGAAAGGGTTTCTTATTTATATGTATATATATATATATGTATATATCTTCTTTTAATTAATGATTTATAATGAATAGTTTCCGTTCCCCACTATCTCTGCCGCGGATTGAAGGTCACACTCCCACCTCTTCTTCTTCTTTGGCATCGGAGCGCTCGTTCGCTTCTTCAGATTCTTGGGTATTGACTCCTCCTTTGCGTCTTCGCTCGAGCTCTCTTTCGTTTTGGCGATTAGATGTGTCCTCCGTCGGACGGATCTCGCTCTAGGGTTTCGGTTCAAACTGACCCAGTTTGCGTTGAATCTTTTCGGGGTTGTTCCGCGAAGTAAAGGGTTGCTCCTCGATCGCTCGTGATTCGCGTTCTTTTGCCCGTTCGCGAGATCTGTAAGTTGGAAAGTTGGGGATTCGTCTACTCGTTGATTCGATGTGTCCTGCAAGCTATCTCTGTTCATTGATTTCGTGAAACCGGAGTGCAGTTTGATGCTTCGTTTCTTTGTCTAGAGAAGTTAACTGTGAATCTCCATTGGTTTGTCAATTGTTGATGTATGTTCACACTTTGGAAGAGTGATTGAATATTGGTTTTGAGAATGAGATCAATCAGAGAAGTTGTTTATTTGTTGAGATAGTTAATGGAAAAAATATACAGAGAAGAAGAAAGATTTGCACATAGATTGTCTTATAAGTCATATGACAGAGTTTTTAGATTATTATTTATTACAGTAGGTTTTGGAAAAAAAATTATATAATATCTAGTAATCATAGTAATGTAATAACTATAAGTTTACACCATGGATCAACATCAACTGAGTACCTTTTCATATTTTTAATGAAAGAATATTCTAGTCATACAAGATAGACTTCTTATGGTGTATGTTACTTATTGATGATATTATTCTGATTTAGAAGAGTTTAACTTAAGTTTTCATGACAAATGTTACAAAATAAAGGTCTTAAATTAAATAGGCTTAATAAGTATATGAAATGCAATTGTAACAATATTAAAGGAACAGTTGAAGTGTAATTTTTATTTGTATCTTGGAGAAAAAAGAAGAGGAAATCATCTTTGACCAAGTAACAGCCGAGTTATAAAACTAACCCCAGAAGTCACTGCTGATTGTACTATTATCTTATGAAGTTGCAACTCGTTACATTTCAATTATTATTACTTGAGATACACAAAGTTTTAATTAATTCTGTAAATCTAGACTTTTGTATGTTGAAACAATTTCTTTACGATGATACCTTGGTATTATAAGTTCAAATTGCTTCATGTGGTTTCCTTTCTAATTTCATAATCAAAATTTGTTTTATCTTTTCAGCTTAAGACAAAGATAGCAGCCAACACGACTAGAAATCTTGCAAGTGCCATCACTGTTTAGCAGAATGTGGCATCACTACATCTGGAACTGAGTTCTTCTTGAATGCTTATTACAAAACTATAATGTCTGGGCTGCTTAATGTAATTTCTGCCTGTTTTGGCTTGGCAATGCATCTTACTTGCATTATATAACTTGTTCTTCCCCATATTTCATCATCTATGATTGTATTGTTGGACATTAGACACTTCTATGTTGATGCTTCATATGCGTGTATGTCTATGTGTAAGATTGTATTTATTTGGCAGATGGAACTACTGTAGAATCATAATTTGTTATTGCTGGCTTGTATTGATTTTGTCTATATATAATTTTTTAGTTCTTTATAGCTTTATGATGTGCATTACAAATACTTGTTCCTAACTGTACATTGCATAGACATGAATTTGAAGGGCAGTTATAGAGTGTGTTAGTATATATCATGGACTTCCGGCTATTGTATATTTGTATTTGAGGATTCCATTTTAAAATTACCTTTTATTTTTTTTGTGTATTTATTAATTTTTCAATTGTGTGCATATATTTTATATATTGTTTCGAAATTTATGGAGGAGAATGGAACACCATTTTAGTGCATCAATTGTTTTAAATTTGAAACTTAGTAACCCACTACATTTTTGTATTTTTTTCTTGATTATTTTGCAAGTGTGGAGTGATCATCATTTTCTAATCAGTTGACATGTTGCTTAAGGATCACTTCACTTGGCTCATTAGTTTATTAGGCCTGAGATATAAGAACACTGAATATCAGTTTCCTCTTCTATATTCTTTTCATGATCTGGGGGAATTTTTGGAGATTGCACCATAGTTTCTTAAGTCTAATGTGCGGTTACTATAGTAAATCTTTCTATCTGCAAACTATCTTTTGAATTTGTCATTGAATTCCATCGCCCAAATTTATTTGGATAAGAATTTTGAACCAGCTTCAGAGGGTTGACATCAATTTAATGGCTGATCATAAAATGTTGACCAAGACTTCCGTGGTTCCTTCTTGACTTGAGTTACCTTTGTAGTGTTGCCTTTTTTGATTGAAAAAGACCATTACTATTTCTTTTTCGCAAAGGATTTGAGACTTTAGTTTGATTGGTAATCCTTTTGGGACGCTTGTTTGTTATTAAATTATGTGAATATTCATTGGCAGTTTTGTGTAAAGAGCTAACTGGATGAGGCTTTGTGCCTGTACCTTGTATTTTTCTTTATTTCATATCGTCTCTATCAAAACACTGATCTATGCTAGTGTCCTCTTTGCTTCCCTTATAGTTATACACATGTCATGCATGCATGTCTTGCTTTTCTTGATTAAAAAAAATTGGAGCTTTTGGTTTCAGACAACCCTTAATGGTTCAGCATCAAATATCCCTGACTCAACGGGCCGACCCTACACGACATCATTTTCTGCTCAGTCGGCTTCAAATCCTGGATTTCATCACTCTGGTAAGCAGTTTGTTACTCGGTTAACTTTCTTGAACAGATGTATGATAAATTTTTGTAAGTGCTAACTTGTACAATAAAAGGTGGTTTGCAAGGGCTGCATAACATCCATGGAAGCTTCAACCTGCCAAACATGCCAGGTTCACTTGCATCAAGAAATGCAGTAATGGGTGGTGTTCCATCAGGCAGTGTCCAGCAACCAGGCGGAAACATTCCTAGTGGACGGTTTGCATCAAACAATCTTTTGGTTGCATTGTCTCAGGTTCAGAATATTTTTTTAATTATAAGCATATTACTTCATTTGCATAAGATAACCTTTTGGTTGCATTATGTATGGTAAAATCTGCTTAGGTAGATGCACATGTCTTCCTGCACTGAGTGAAGTATTAAAGCTTACTAATGGATCTAAAGATTCTTCTTTTTTTCCTTTTTATACTATATTAATCTGAAGCTTGATTGCATATTCTCATTTTTCATGCAGATGTCTCATGGTTCTGGTGTCACCAATAGAGGGGGTATCAATGTTGTCGGAAATCATGCTTTTAGTAGTAGCATGAATGGAGTTGGCGGGTCAATAACTGGTATTTCCTCAAATTCTGCTACCGGCAATCGTAATTCAGTTCCAGGCTTGGGAGTTTCTCCAGTTTTGGGTAATGTAGGCCCAAGACTTACAAACTCTATGGGAAACATTGTTGGTGCTGGTAACATGGGAAGAAACATCAACTCTGGAGGATTATCCATTCCTGGACTAGCTTCCCGTGTAAACTTAGCTTCCAATAGTGGATCAGGGAGCCTCAATTTACAAGGGCCAAACAGACTGATCAGTGGCATGCTTCAACAGGGTAGTTCTCTTAATTTCCTTGAAGACCTTTGACCTTACATGATTTAGATAACTCATCTTAGCACACTACATTATCTATTTCAATAAGAAAAACTCTCTCGGAATGTATATAATTTAGTGGTAAGTTGCTTGAAGTAAGTCTAATTTCTCTTCGGTTAATGAAACTATTGCAATTCATGCCACCAACGCAACTAAGATTCATGTTACTAATGGATTACCTTATTTGAGAGCAATGTTTCTATTATTATGCTGTGAGGTGATTATGAAACTTTATTGTTCCCCTGGTCAGGCATTAGAAAGCATCGACGACACTCGAATATGCTTTTTTGTTACCTTGTTATTGTACCCAAGGTATGCAATACCGAATGATACCGCTCGTACCGGGTGGTACGTACTGGTCCGTCAGCAGACAGGTACACGGACCGCCCGCTACCGAGTGGTAGTGTCGATTGAGGCGTTATCGTCGACGGTGACCGAGGGAGAAGAAAGAAGAGGGAGAAGGGAAAGAAAGAAATAGGAAAAAATGGGAGAACCTAGAGATTGCCGCTCTCCTCCTCGTCTGTCAATGACTTCTCATCCGTGCACAGGAGAAGAGGCATCGACGTCGCGGGGCGGGGAGAGACGAAGATTTTTTTTTTTCTTCTCTTCTCGGGTGACATCGCCTGCAAATTTTTTTTTCCCATTAAGTGAGGCGACATTGTAATTTTTTTTTTATCTGCAACATCGCCTCCGGCAACGTCGCCCCATATATAGGTAAACCGAGCGGTTTACCTATATATATACCGAGCGGTATACCGAAATATACCTCTCGATATATAGTACCGTATCGTATCGGATCGAATAAGTCTCGAAATTTCGATGTGGTACAAAATTTCAATCCTTGATTGTACCAACAGTGTTGGAACTATTTTACAAAGTTACTTGGTGTAAACTTTTAAAATATCAACAACATTGGCTTGCACTTGTATGACAAAGAAGGGGCAGCTCAATGCATGAAATTTTCTCTAATGTAGGATATGGGGATGATTTTTGCACCCGTATAACCAAGATATTCTCAATATTGTTTAGATGTATATTTGCAGATCTATGTAGATGGGAAAGGTATCTGCATATGTAATAGCTTTATTGATTCATGTGCTTGAATTGAAGCATGCTCGTGAGTGTGGGACACTTGCAGAAAAGTTTAATCCCTAATTAAATATAACTGACATTTCGACTAACCACAGAATTTGTTTTTCGGTTCCTGGTCTATTAGATGCTTTTAGTTCATTAGTACATATTGTAATGATGGTACTAATCCTATTTATGTGGCCTTTTGTCCTGATCTTTGACTAGTGTTTTTATCTGTTGCACTAAAGTACATCCATGTACAATTTTGTACTTTAGATTCCATGTTGCATCTTATTAAATACTCATCAAAATTCATGCATCGAAATATATCAGTAAATATGCCTGTAAATTTGCTAACAAATTGTTTCATTATTATTATAAGCAGCACCACAAATGATTGGTGTGCTTGGGAATTCTTATGCTACATCAGGAGGATCGTTATCTCAGGGTCAAGGTGGGAGTAACCCACTAAGCTCTATGGGAATGCTGAATGATGTCAATGCTGCTGACAGTTCTCCTTTTGATATGAATGATTTTCCTCAATTAAGTACACGACCAAGTTCAGCTGGAGGACCACAAGGGCAACTCGGTGTGTAAATGAGTTTTTCTGGCTTACTTTCTTTTTTTCGATTTCTTTGCTGTGGAATGGAGCATATGCTGACCCGTCAATTTTTAGGTGCAACACGGAAGCAAGGAGTTGGTGTTAGCTCCATTGTCCAGCAAAATCAGGAATTTAGCATACAAAATGAAGATTTTCCAGCTTTGCCTGGATTGAAAGGTTTTTCTTTTCACCTGGAATTTCTCTGCATTGTTTCTGTTTGCTTTTCTCCTCTTAAGGGGCAAGCTTTATTTCTTTGATCGTATTCTTTGTTCAGCTTTTGTCCTATCTGGTTCTGCCATTTTGATGAAACTTTGCTATGTGCCTTTTCTTTTATTCTCCAACATTTGTTTAGTTCTGGTCCTTGAAGAAGCCACTCTGGATTAGAACAACATGCTTCCGTTTTTTATATCACATGATGTGACATCTTTCAGAATATTTGCCAGAATTAAATTGTTATTCATCTCAAACTAGATGCACATGCAGATCAGGTTAATATATTATGGATGACACTAATATTCTCCCAAGCTAAGCTTACTATGTCGACATGGACTCTTTGAGGGTTTCATGTTTCCTATTGGGTTTTTGATGTAGATACACACGAGTCTTACAGCCAGCCCCATTTACATTGAAGCCCACTTATGTTTTGTCTAGGTCAGTCTTAAATTTGCAATCACTTATAAGGAAATTCTGTCGATTAGGTGATTATCGTGGAACACTAATTTGAGGAATTAATAGTTTTCCTTTTCTTCTGTTCACATTCCAGGCTCCTTCATTATCGATTAATGGAAACCCACATCGTTCATATTCACAGTTCGACCTGGAAAGTGGAAAAATAAGAACTTGTCTGTTACTATAACAGAATATTCTTGTTTATATTACTTTTTGTAATAATTTTGAATTTATCATGTAAAACAACTAAGCTGTTTCATCTCTCTCTCTCCAACACTACCACCACCACCACCACCACCTTGGATACAATCTTGGGACACACGAGCTTATCTGCATGGTTTTTTTTGAAGATTTGACCACAAGATATTGTGACCAGTTTAGTAAGGTCAAGGATTTAATGGAATTGCTGCAAATGAACATTTTTAGTTACACTTCTATCTACTCTTTAATTCCAACCTCCTGGTCAGCCAATTTTATTCACATTTTTAACAGCACATTGAATTTCCTTTAGTCTCTAATGTTGGATTGTATTTATATATGCTGCTTGATGTAATTGTAAAATGGTGGAGATCAGAAGTACATAAAGAAATAATGGATGAAATATAATTCATTCTGGTCGAATCATTACTCATTGTGATGTAACAATGTTCTGAAATCATTTCAAAAAGCCTTCTTGCCTTCTTGGCTATGTTAGTGGGAAGAAGTTAGAGGATTTTGTTTTTACTATACCATACTGTGACAAACACATTTCTTATACAGTAAACTGTTTTTGAAAGCTGATTATTAGTCATTATGGACTTTCGATATACATATTCTGTAGCATTAGAGATAATTATATTATCTAAGTAGTAGTTTGCTTAGGTTTGTACTAGTCTATACTCTATAATCTTTCCCCAAGGTTCATGCTAAATCATTATATTTTGTTCTCTGTTAGGCGGTAGCTCAGACTTTTCTGTGGACTTGCATCAGAAAGAACAACTTCATGAAAGTATCTCTTCGATGCAGTCACCACACTTACCTGTGAGTTGAATCGTGGTGACTTTATTTGATCTAGTGTCCTTTCTCATTGATCTAATTTGATGAAATATTGGTGTTTATTTCATCAAGTAGATGGCACGATCTGTTGGATTTAGCTTAGGAGGAAGTTACCCACCTAACCGTCAGCAACAACATGCTACTTCAGCAAGTAGTGGTGGGCTACCTTTTACACCTGGAAGCAATCAAGATCTTCGATTAAATGACACTGAGTTCTTTCCATCTTCTCATGTAACGTATCACTCACAGGTATATTCATGTCTAGTGGATTTATCTGTTAGTCAATTTAATTTTTAAAGTACTGATATCAATTAAGTGGTTTCACCTTGACATGCTTTATTTAGATTCAAAACAGTGGTTCTCCTGGCATTGGGTTGAGACCCTTGAGCTCTCCAACAACAGCTTCTGGTATAGGAGCATATGAGCAGCTCATTCAGCAATATCAGCCTCCGCAAAGTCCATCTCATTTTCGACTACAAATGTCTGATGTTAGTCAGTTATATAGAGACCAGAGCTTAAAATCCACTCAGGGGTCACAAGTAGCTCCTGATCGGTTTGGCTTGCAGGGTTTGTTAAGTGTTATTAGGATGAATGATCCCGATCTGACATCTCTTGCACTGGGCATTGATTTAACTACATTAGGGTTGAACTTAAACTCATCGGAAAATCTTCATAAAACATTTGGTTCGCCATGGTCTGATGACCCAGTCAAGGGAGAACCAGAATATTGCATTCCAAGTTGTTATTATGCCAAACCACCACCCCTTCTACATGTAAGCCTGTTTACTTTATGAATTTTTTATAATAAATGTACAGTCTTGATTTTATGATCTTATATCTGTCATTATGGGTGTAGCAAGGGTATTTTTCGAAACTTCAGGTGTCAACCCTCTTTTACATCTTTTATAGGTATGTATTACATGTTGTTTTGTGTATTCCTTGCAATAACTGTTACTTAAAGTTCCTCTGTATCATTTTCCAGTATGCCGAAGGATGAAGCTCAGCTTTATGCGGCTTCCGAACTGTAATCCCTCCTCCCTTTCTCTCTGTTTGTGTCAGTCTGGAAGCTTGTTGGGGTTTTTTTCCCAATTTTTTGTGAAGTCACCAAACTTGCAAATCAGTCTATCAAGTTTATCCTTGAACATTTATATTTTGTTTAGTTTTTATTTGGCACCAGTTCATAAAGGAAACTAGATGGTTTTGCGGTAGACTTTTGTGGCTGTCCTTATAAATAAAGCGGAAGATTTAAACTTACTGTTGTTAGAAACAAATTATGCAGGACTTGCCTTTTGCAGTGTCTATCTTGCTGTTTCTCTGCTTTTTATTCAACTAAAATGAATACATAATCTCTAATTTTTTCTCTGGTGAATTTTTCCATATGACCTAGGAGTTTAACTACATTTGTATGTTGTCTGGATGTGCTTGTAGTTGTCTTTAAATTGCCTCAATCAGAGTCTTTTTGCAGATGTGCACGAGGATGGTTCTACCACAGAGAGCATCAGTTGTGGTTCACAAGAGTTCCAAATGTGGAACCTCTTGTTAAGACTCACGCATATGAAAGAGGGACCTATGTTTGTTTTGATCCTAACACATGGGGAACAATTCTGAAGGTTTGGAACTTTCCAATTATACGTTCTGTTATTGCCATCAATTAGTTACTGAGCATCCCTGTTGTTGGATTGCAGGAGAACTTTGTTTTGCTTTATGAGGCAGTGGAGAAGAAACCAATGCTCCCCTCTGATCGCCCTCAGCTAGCTTAAAAGTTTGTTCATGTAGAACATGTCTTGTCACTGTTAGAATAAATTGATCAATCTATTCTTCATTTTTCTTCATCATAGTGTTCTCATTTACCAGCTTGGTCATAGTTCTTTTCTCGCGCCCTCCCATATTTGATAAAGTGTAGGATTTGGCTCATATAGGTAGGATATATGAATTCACCTTTTGTAGCTGAAGCTCCACGGGGAAGGACTTAAAAGAAGTGTTCTCTCGCTGGGTAATTTAGGTTGAATATGTTCTGGAGATCACTGACCTCTTGGACTAGGAGCAGAATACTCATTCTTAATCAAGGAACTGGAACTCATTCATGCAGGTATTGGAGGGACAAAGATAGCATAGTTGTTAGTCTTGGATGGATGGATCTGATAGGGTCTTTCAGTCTAAATAAATTAAATCATCTTTTCTCTTTCTTGATTGTTAGATCACTTTTAGCTTATAAAGATAGCATAGTTGCTTTTCGCTGATATTCAAGTTACAAGGTGCATAGTTTCTACAGAAGTACACAACCATTAAAGGCAAAGAAAAAATGTTGCCAGGTTTATGTTGCTCTTGATGGATAGGGTTGGATACGGTTTTTAGGTATAAGCAAATTAAACAGCTTATAAAAATAGCAAGTTATTTTTCCCTGATGTTCAAGTTACATGGTGCATAATTTCTCTGAAAATAGGGTTTATTGTGTTTTTGATTTCCATGTTACAGGATTATCCATGTGGATGAGGTATGTGAATCCTGCCTTTGCATGAAAATTACTTTGGTAGTATTTCCTAGATTCACTGCCTATTTTGAGGTGCCTAAGATCCATGGATTATATGCTGTTGTGCACATGCCTCTCTGCATGAACACATATACATCCTAACCGGTGTTGTAAAGGAGATCTCTAGATGCACTTGTGCAACCAGGTGAGTCAATTAGAATCTGTGGTTCCAGGAGAGGTGGGAAAGACTTGAATGATTTTTATGAGCAACGTTGGAAGAAGTACAGGTGACTTTGTGATCTTGCTCTCGACAAACGTAATATTTTTAAATTGCTGTGACAATACAGTTTCCTTGTTTGATGAGTGTTTTTAACCAGCTGTTGGTTAACTCCTCAATCCTCTTTTGTGTGTCGTGTGTTTGGGGATACGCCCATGTGGAATGCCATCCTGCGTGTATAATGATTTGGCTGAATTTAGATTATGCTTCAATGGATTTTAATTATACTCCGATAGCTGATGGGCTTTTCTTTTCCTTCTATTGAGATGTCTCTGAGACAGCAGCCGGTAAAGCTGCCTTCTTCTTCTTCTTCTTCATCATCATCTATGCCACTAAGGTATTCATGCAGCTGTGCCAGATGGAGGCTCTGTGGGCTGCTGGTGTAGATCTTCCTTAGAGGAGGAGTTTTTGTTCATCAGGTAACTTCGGATGGTTCATCATGTTCAAGTTTATTATGTCTGTAAAGAGGGCTATACTCATGCGTCTTAGACATTGGCATCTTTTGCTTTTAGTTAGATATATTTTGAATGGCAACACCTTAAAAAAAAAAAAGAAAGAAAAATCTGACAAACTCTGACTTGTTTCTTCGGCATGTGATTTCTGTTCTTTTTTTATGTGTGCACAATTTTGTTTTCGTAATAAGTATGATTCCAAACGGATATTGGATTCCTCTGCCGTTGTGTTTATTATTGCATATAGGGTTAAAAGTTGTTTTTAATTGTATGCTTAATGTCGTGTCGGCCGTTGTGCGTGCACCCGTCGTTACCTAACCAAAGTGGTACTCCAAAGTCTCCATCTACTTTTTCTAAGACCGAGTCCTATCTGTTAGTGTTAATTTCCAAGCCAATGCCTAAACTTTACAGGTAAAAGACTCTTTCGAGCCCGTTGACATCCGTCGCCGATCTCTTCTGACGCACTCGACTTCCATCGCCCCGTCACGCCCACGTTAAAGAAACGCGTGCGCTCGTGACCACTTCATACGTTGGACTTACTCCAACCAAATCCGCCTCACTCTAAACCTGAAACCGAATAATCTCAGAAAAAAACCCGGCTAAGTACCCACCATTTAGGAGACGACACGATTGCTTGTGGGCATTAACCATGCATCTCGAGTGTCGCCGTATAATTTTACCAACGCTTTGCCTTCGCTACAATCGCTCCGTTCTTCGGAGGGAGGGAAGGACAGAGGGGAGAGAGAGAGAGAGAGAGAGAGAGAGAGCGAGGGAGATCGGTCTCCATCTCGTCGCCTTCGAACTCTTCTCTCGATCCCGATTTCATTCTGTTCAAGTACGCTGGATCCGTCGCAAGAGACGCCGTTGAAGCCGCCGACGCCGACACCGACGTCGTCGGGCAACGGCCTGATCCGGTACCGGTCGCCGTCCGCCCCGGAGCTCAGCCTCGCCGCCCCAGCCGATCTCGAAGCCAAGATGAAGCGGGCACGACAGGAGCCCATCCTCGACAAGATCCAGCGCTTCCGCGGCGTCATCCTCGTCTTCGCCGTCCCCCTCATCCTCGTCTCCTTTGTCCTCTTCCTCATGCCCCGCTCGCCAGCGGTTATCTCCTTTGCCAGTAGAAAGACGATGCCCGGTGGCAGCGAGGCTGGATCTAAGAGCTATGCTGTTATCTTTGACGCGGGCAGTTCGGGAAGTAGGGTTCACGTCTTTTGCTTTGATGAGAATTTGGATCTGCTGCCTATAGGACAGGAGCTGGAGCTCTTTGTACAGGTACGGATACAATTGACGATGTGTATTTTTCTTCAATTAGCTGTAATTACATAAGTTTCTCTGCATTTTGAGTAATATATGTCTGATCACAGTATGTACCGATTGTTTCTAAATTGATTTCCATGAAAAGTGGGTAGATCTAAGGTTTCAGTATTTAAAATATTTTGTAGTCGCTCAAATTTAATTATAAGTACCGGAAAAAGAAAAGAAAACGGTATATCTCAAATCTGGAAGTTTATTCGCAATTAATGAAGATGTGATGGACTTTGTTTTGAGTTACATAAGGAAAAAAAAAAAGGCCATTGTACATGGATTTTATTGAATTAACAATGAACTTTCTGAAGAACTCCTAGAGATGCATGTGATGGGTTTAATAAGGAAAGGGATCTTTAATAGATATTTTGACCTAACAAAAGATTTATATGATAAATTAGTATATGATAATATGTATGGAACCAGAGGTTCCCTATCATTGCAGGGATCTATCAAGAATCAACTTTAAGTCCTTATTGCACTTGTAGTGGATGAACTCTATAGGAACTCTCAGGATGAAATTCCATGGTGTAGGTATTTTGTTTATGACACTGGTTAGACTTTAGATTTATGATGGTTGAGTTAAGCCTCAAGATGGAGCTTTAGAGTGAAATTATACACTAGGCAATATGATTAAGTATGACTAGGAGTCTTAAGACTGAGTATTTAGAGTACTAATTTTAGTAATATGCATTGAAACTCATTGCAATAGAAAGATAAAAGTCATCACTAAGTAGAGGTTTTTTAATGTAATTGATATCTGACTCAATAGAAAGAGAAGATTGAATAAACATTGACCATAGAGATTAAGCGAGATGGTTTAATTGGAGAGGGTTCCTGTGTATTACACATGACTGTTGCAATTTGGTAATGACTTGAGGAACAAAATATTGAGGTGGGGCACTTCAAAAGCGCACCACCACCACTACACAGTTTTTCACCCCGTGATGGCAACTGCATCTGGTGCCTCAAGTGATAGCTTAAGTCGCAATGTGTTGTTGCACTCAAGGAAGATAGTATAAAAATAATCTCTTTCATCAGATTTTCAGGTGAGACAGAATTTTTTGTTATGTTGTGGTCCAGATGTAACTGGTAATGATGGGACACTAGAGGCATCAGATGATGACAATTGACAACATATACTCTAATTTTTTATTGCCTAATGGATATGTTATAAATGGCATTTGATATCTCTAACAATCAAAGCAAGAAGGCTACATCAAATGAATCCCTAAACAATAGCTTTTCTCTTTAACTTAAAAATAAAATAAAATCGGTGTGCTCCTGGTCCATCTAATTGCATCTAACATAACAAGTCACCTTGACATATTAATCATCTACTTACTAAAATATAAATTTCAAGTGTTATGAAACATCCCGTGTGAAGCAATTTTGTTGCTTGTTTCTTCTTTTACATGCAGAAAAAACCAGGCTTGAGCTTCTATGCTAAAGATCCTCAGCAGGCTGCACAATCTCTTGTTTCGCTGTTGGAGAAAGCTGAGAGTGTTGTTCCAATGAAATTGCGACAGCAAACACCTGTCAGAGTCGGGGTAAACTGTACTTCTTTGGACTAGAAGCTGTTGTAGTTCACATCAAATTCATGTTTAAGAAAAGTTGCATGTACTGCTGCCTGGCTGTCTAAGTGTGGTGCTTATGCAGGCTACAGCGGGTCTGAGAGCTTTAGGAGCTGAAACATCTGAAAAAATTTTGCAAGCGGTAGAAATTTCTCCATGTTCTAATATGATATCCTGATTCAACTGAAGTTTACTTCAACGTTTACAAGCTTTTCAAACATTTTACCACCATTGGAAGATGTGTCAGTAAGTTTGGGTCATTTGCGCAGGTTAAAGATCTCCTTCAACACAAGAGCTCACTAAAGTTCAAGTCGGATTGGGTGACTGTTCTTGATGGGACTCAGGAAGGTGCTTTCCAATGGGTATATCACTTGGACTCTGATAATATCAATTAAAATGTTATATTAGAAATTACTTACTATTACTGGACTTGTTATTATTTAGTTAATTGAGTTCAAGTAGCTTTATAGATCAAGAAGGATTAACTCTTTAAAGAAAAATTTCTAGGTTGGCTTCTTGAGACTTTATTGGTGAATTTGATGACTTAATGCTGAAGAGTATTTTATAAAAAGGGCGATGCATGAATTCTCAAGGATTCATTTATTAATTTAATATTATATTTCACAGAGTTACTGTGAAGTAAATAAAATGCTCTTTAGTTTTTGTGACCACACTAGCTACCTTTCATTGGTTGGTGAAGCAAAACTTAGAAGGGTAATGCATTGTACCACTCTACAAGAGCCTGTGCAATACATTGCAACTATAGTATATGATAGAGTTGTTAAAGCTGATGACAACCCAACCCAATGTGCATATAGGCCTTTCGGTAAATTGGAGTGTCAATAAAGATTGTTATAATTTAAAGGGCAGTAGCATCTGACTTTCTCAGAGTCTGAAGGCTAAACTTATCTTACATGAAATTCATGTGCGTTTATATAATGTTTTTGTATAAAATTTCTTTTAAAGTATAACTTCAGCTTGTATATCTTTGGAAATTCCACTCTTTACCCAAAGCCTACAATTGTTCTTGAGGTATGGAAGGAAAAATCTTTAATGCAAGCTAATTTCTGTTTTCTTGTATCTGGAAGATTAATGCTTGAACGATTATCTGGTTAACTAGTAGCTCATCACTGTAACACAACCAGTCCATACTTTTCTGAGAGCTTCTGATTGCATAATTATCTGAGATACAGTATAAAGTTGTTTATATATTTTAGCTGCATATACATTTAACTTAATTGCATTCAATACTGTCAATTTTCTTGTACTTCTACCTTATGGCATACTTGACATGCTTAGATTTATCTAATCCTATAAGCTTATGTCAATCACATTCCGAATCTTTAGACATCTAAGTCCTTATTCCTATCTAATATATATCCTTTTTATGGTCTCACGAAGAAAGTGTTTGCATGTAGGTCACTATCAATTATCTATTAGGAAAACTTGGGAAGTCTTATGCAAACACAGTTGGAGTGGTTGACTTGGGGGGTGGATCTGTTCAAATGGCTTATGCCATTTCAGAAAAGGATGCTGAACAGGCTCCAAAAGTCTCAGATGGAGAGGATTCATATGTGCAGAAATTGTTTCTAAAAGGAACTAAGTATTACTTATATGTCCACAGGTTCGGCATCTTTTTCTGCTAACTTCAGAATTCTTCTTTTCTACTATCTTCTGAAACTAATTTGGTAATGATTGTAAGCTGATGTGCATTTGAACATCTAGATCACACCTGTTTCTTAGATTAAACTGACTTGCGGTCTCCTTTGTAGTTACTTGCGCTATGGTCTATTGGCTGCTCGTGCAGAGATTTTGAAGGTCACCAAGGATGACAGTAATTGCATTTTGAGCGGCTACCATGGTAATTTGATATACTCAATTAAGCTTCCAGATTTTAATATTAGTTTCTTTTTTTCATTGCTCTGGACCTATTGTCAATTTATGATGCTGTTTTGTCCTCATCGGTGACAGAACTGTGGTGATTAGTTAATTTTCAACATGTTTCCCTACATATATAGCTAGGACCAAGGTTTGAAATATCGTACCGTACTAGCGTTTCGACATTCGCTTGGTACGGTACGATACAGTATACCGAGCGGTATACCGCTCGGTATATATATATATAAGATTTTTTTATATATATAAATATTTTTATAAAAGGCGACGTCGCCGAAAAAGGCGACACGACGTGGCCTTTTTCGACGACGTTGCCTTTAATATATATATATATATACCGTCCGGTAACGGGCGGTCCGTGTACCGATCAGCTGATGGACCGGTACATAACGTTTGGTACGGGCGGTATTATTCGAAACTACATACCTTGGCTAGGACACTAACTACTCTGGGATGTGGAAGTTCACAATATACTTGGGTCTTATACAAGAATGGTTGCTCGTTGTCTTCTTGTTTTCCATTGAGAAAACCACTTGAAAATCTGAGGCAAGTAGAACCGTATTACATGCTGATATCTTTGGGCCCCTCAGGTGATTATTAACCCATTTATCAATATCCAATCGATAGAGTGGGTGCTTCATTATAACTCCAGCCATTCTGTTGGAATTCAGATGTTATAATGTCAACAGCTGATACAGGACATGACTTGCAAATAATTTTGCAGTTGTCTGGTTATACAACTGTTTTGGATTCACATTATATTCTCATTTGATGCTTAAACACAAGTTTTTCATGCAGAGCACCTAGCGTGTCCTTAGAATCAAGCCCATTGTTGCACTTAATCTTTACCTATCTCTTACATGACCAGCTAAAATGTCCAACAAATTGAATTTCTTTGGTTTTGGAAACTCGTGCGTATATTGTAAAACCAATTGATGCTGGAAAACTATGTTGGTTTTAAGAAGGCTTAGATAACTCTAAGATAAAACTAGTATTTGACTCTGTAATTAATTTGGTGATGATTTTTCTTCTCCAATCTTTACTTGGTAGCATGTTTCGTGTTTTCAGCCCTCGGAGTTGATAAATGGATTACTACATAGACTGCTCGTATCAACAATGGCTATGGTTTTACGGGATAAGCTTGCATAATATAATCTCTTTGCGTGTCATCTTAATATAAAAAGATCAATTCTTTTTTTCTTTTCCCCACATCTTGTTCTCAAGGTCAATTTTTGTCTGTCTTTCATTATTTCACTAATAGCTTCGTTAAATGTGGTTGCTTCTTCTAAATATTTTCCTTGCCTTACTTAAAGGGTCATACAAGTATGGTGGCAATGCATACAGAGCATCAGCAAAACAATCTGGTGCCAGCTTTTTGAAATGCAGGGAGGATGCAGTTAAGGCTCTCAGGGTTGATGAACCAGCGTGCACTCACATGAAGTGTACGTTTGGGGGCATCTGGAATGGTGGAGGTGGAGATGGGCAGAAAAATCTGTTTGTGGCATCTTTTTTCTTTGATCGGGCTGCCGAGGTAATATCATTATATGATGATTTCTTTTAGAACCCGAGATGTCATCTTTTACAAAAGAAATGTTGTATATATATATATATATATATATATATATATATATATATATATATATATATATATG